ACAAGTTAATGAAATGAAAAATGAAATAACTAGTGCTCAAAGGTAAGTGCTGACAGCTTTTGTTTTTTCCACTGTCTGCCAACCCTACTACCTGCTTCCATTTCAATATATATTCAAATGTAAAGGGGCAACATGTAACACATTTAGCTCTTTTAAAAATTCAAATGATAATATAAAGAAATTATTTTTCATCTTTTATTGGACACAAATGTTCAAGTTTTACACAAACACCTCACACCTTTCATAAACCTTTTCTATTAAGGCAACCTGGCTTCAACTAACCTGTTTGAAGGGATCTGATAACTACATATCAGATAATGGCCTAACATCTTTTTAAAGTACCAGATGCTTTCTTTGGAATGTATATCCCAGAACAAAGATAAACTTTTTTTCTAGTCTTTCATATTAAGTTCCACTTTATAAAAAATAGTCATCATCAAATGATGTGGAGTGGAAGAGTTATTTTACTGTTTTATTAATTTTAAATATTCATTCAGAAAAAAATAGATTCAGAGTCTTTAAAAAGAGACAGATACAGAAAACCAGCAAAAAATATTTCTCCAGGTAAAAGAAATAGGGATTTTCAATGTTTCTACTTATTGTTTACAAAAGAAAAAAACACCAGCTTATATAATTTTCTAGCTTTTTATTTTTCTGCTCATTAACAAATGAGCAAGAAGCCAGCAAAAATATCAGAGGAAATACAAAATAAAGGGTACAAACATTTAACCACAAATTGAAAAATAAACCTCTTCAATTGATGGAAGCTGGGCTGACATACTCAGTAAAATTACCACAGTCAAAAAGGTCAATATACCTTGATTTAGACATCTATCAAATCTCTCCTCATGTGACCAACACTGAGGGGCCCCCTCAGTAGCAATCTAATTAAAAAAAAAAAAAAAATCAATGTGACCTCATGTTCCTGCTCTGTTTAAACTACTTCACTTGCTCATCCTCTATCAGGTTAAAATCAGAATTCAACAGCACTATAACCAAAAGTTCGCTGTAGCCTCCCTTCCCATCTCTCCACACATACACTCATACTCCAGATAACTCAACAAGAATGTTCCTTCTGCCTAAAAATATCCCATCTTGAACTATCCATTCTGCAAACCATTTTATAGACAAGAAATGAGACTCACTGAAATAACTTGTCCAAGGATATGTATATGAGGTTTACTGTGTCCAATAAAGTATATGTAGGGATCATTTTAACTAACCTGACCCTTACAATATGTAGAAGCTTTTAAAAAATGTCTGTGAAGACAATAATAATGTAAGTACAAATTAACAAAACAATAACAGGGCTAAGATTTCTAACTAGTTCAAGTTCTATGTTATGATATAAAAATCCAGCGGATCAATCACATAGCTCTCACTAAAAATTCTGTTTTAATGAGAGCAAAAAGGTATGTTGACAGAAAATATTTTTTATCTCATCTTTCTTAAACATCTAACATGTTAATTTATTATGTATACTAACATACTAATATATTTGCACACGTATATAATAATTTACAATTAAGCACTTAATAAAGGTGAATGCACAAGAGTTTACTAATTAGGGGACACACTCAGAATATCTACTAATTAAGCCTTTTTTCTTCTTTAGAGTGATCATCAGCCTTTCCAGTTTACCCAGGACTGAGGAGATACAGACTGAATAACGTCTCTCCCCAAAGATGTCTGCATTCTAATCTCCAAATATGTTGCCTTACATGGTAAAAGAGACTCTGCAGATGTGATTAAATTAAGGATTACGAGCTAGGGAGATTATCCTGGATTGTCTGGGTAGACCCAATGTAATCACATGAGTGCTTATAAGAAAAGGCAGGACCAATCATTTGTAGACCTGAGAAATGAAGAGGTTGGAGTAGGGATGTGAGGATGAGGCCACAGAATGCAGGAAGCCTCCAGAAACAGAGACAAACTCAAAAGTCTCCAGGAGGAACTAGTCCTATTGACACCTTAAATTTTTTAGCCCAGTGGAGACTTATTTTGGGCTTCTGACCTCCAGAACTGTAAGATAATAAATGAGCGTTGTTTCAAACTACTAAATTTGTGGTAATTTGTTACAGTAGTAATAGGACTAATACAGGGGTTTCTTGGGATTTACAGAACTTTGATTGTTAAAACAAAGATGAACCGATCACCCTATCTTTAGATTTTCAATACTCGTCACAACATCTGGTACACAGCAGGCCTGGAGAAAAACAATGTTGAATGATTTTATGATTCATATATACATAATACACTCTCAGTATTTTACAAAGATCTGTTATATGCATTATTTTATTTCATCCTCATCCTCCTAACAACCCTGTCAGATATGAATGAATTAGTTTTCTTATTTTGAGGATATAAGAACCATATATATAGAATACAGTTCTGACCTACAGTCAAAAAATAGATGACAGTCAAGTAACTGTGCCACAAGCCAGATTGTCTAGGTTTAAATCACAGCTGCGAATAAACTTTAGCCAAGTTACTTAACCTCTCTATTCCTCATATGTAAAATGAAGTTAACATCTATTTTATAGGGTTTCTGTGGAGAGTAAAAATGTTATATATCAAGCACACACCATGCGCCTGACACAGATTTAGCTGATAATAATTTCACCATTCTGTGGTGCAGCTATAGCCATGTACACCTAGAATAGCCTGTACTACTTGACATAAATCATAAAGTATATGAAAGGAAAAAACAGTAACCAGAATATATAATGCTATGGATAGGGTGGTTCTTCTGTTAAGGTACTCTAAGGTTAGTACATTATGCTGGAAAGATAAAAGCAGAAGGGAGACCTAATCATGGTCTATACAATTATTAACACTAGAAATAAAGTGATAACAAAATACAGTAATATTGGTAGAATGAAGGAAGAATTTTAGAAACTATTATAAACATAGTATTCAATCGATAGAACAGAAATGGATCACAAAATTTGGGAACAATTTCTGAATGACAAAGACAAAAATGGCTACTATAAGGAGCTCATCAACTCTTCTGCAAAACTTTTCTCTAACCCTACAACAGCTTTCTGTACCCACTTCTGTTAAGGGAGGTGGCAATGGTGGGAAATGACATACCAGACCAGATTGTAGCATAAGTTAGACCTCCAGATAAGTCTGTTCCATGGTTTCACCTCCCCATAGAGTCTCAAAAGACAAAACATACAAATCTTCACCATGCACCATTCCTCTTGCCCAATCTCATTCATTGTCACCCTTCCAAAGAAACATCAAGGACAAACATCCTAATTTAATGCCTTTTAATAGCTTTACTAAAGAATAATTTGGCAGTCCAAACAAATTTCAAAATATACTAACCCAACTGTTTCTTAAGCTAAAGTTTCTTAAAACTTTTCACACTCTTAAACTTTCAACTCATGTTTTTCACTTTGAGAGTCAACAAACTTTCCAAAATTCTATGACTACTATTTTCAATACTAGGCTGACTGTCTTTTCCTTAACAGGTCATGATCTTCTCACTTTCTAGTGAATAAAGTTAAAACAATTTGAGGTTAACATAAGCAAAAGACAGAAATTCCCCAAACAACAGGAGCATGGTTAATTTAAATTTACAAGGGGTTTTAAGAAACACACTCTATTGCTTGATTTCATTTTCACCATCCAATTAAAAAAAAAACTTAGACATACTGGTGTGTTTCAAACTAGAATGAAAAGTCTAACCTTTGCCTTGTCAGCCATTTCATGATGTGCTAATGAAGAATAATACCGTTTAAAGATGGGCAAAACCAAGGAGAAAAAGAAAAGTAAAAAAAAATCTACAAACAACTAGGCAATACCACAAAGAGGAGGAAATGAATACAAGCTTTCAGTATCTCATCAACAAATTTAAATTTAAAAGCAGCCAGTGGACTCATCTCCTACAGGAACTTCTTGGTACTCAACATAGTATTAAAAAGTGGAAAGGGAAGAATGACACTGGTTCTTTTTAAGTTTCAGAATGTAAGATAATACACCAATTTTTTACTCTCTAAAATTTCTATCACCCTTTGGATCAAAATTCCTCAGCCAGCAAAGTGTTTTCTTTTCCTCTTTGTTTATGTATTATTTTATGTGAGCAACAACTCTACAACTTCAGTGCTTTTTGAACTCCTAAGACATCATAAAAAATAAAAATAGTGTTAGTGCTTCACATGAATAAGCTAAACAGGAAATTTAGTTTACTTAAATTTTAGCACAACAAGTAGCATATTGCTTTGACTGAAGATGCATCTTTTTAAAGTCATCAAATGTCACACGTATCTGAAAAAAATTCCCTAGGAGGAAAGAATGTTTTTTCCCAAGTACACTGATGGCAATCTTTCAACTTACAAGCTCTTTCTGTTCCTCAAAAAAAAAGTGCCCAGGGCTAAGAGAAACTCCATAAAACTTTAGAGACCAGGCACTCTTCTTCCTTTCCTACTGAATACACTACCTGTGAGACACCCTCTCCTCCAAATCAGCTGCTTCAGAACACCCCCCCAAAGTTTCCAAGAACAGAAGACCCGAGTGTACTTGGGGACAAAACTTGGGCGAGAATGTCCAGGAAAGCTATGGCTTATACACAATTCTTACTCTCACGACGACTAAACGCTTTAAAATCGCACGTCGGGAACATACACTATCTGATGTGTTTTATGCCCTTACCACACTAAGAAAGCAAAGGACCGGCGGTAAACCTGAGCAACCTGGCCACCGCCTCTCCACGTGAACACCGCACCGTCTCCAGAAGGTAGGGTAACCGAGTACAAAAGCACTTGGTGGTCCCCTCTACCCAGGTACCTCTCTCTCCCTTAATCTCTGTAAATTCCAAAATACACCCTGAAAATCTCCCCCGAGGGTGCCAGCAGGCCAGCCAGAGGAACAGTCCCGGAGTACAACATCGGTCTATCCCTTACACTGGGGCCCTGAACGACTTGGGGGTGTGACCTGGGGTCCCACCCGGCTTCTGCCCTCACCGAAACTCCCGTGTTGTCGCGCCTACTCACCAGACCAAGGAGCACAGAGAGAGGCAGGAGACCAGGGCCAAGGCCCGCCGGTACTTCTTCATCTTCTCCTCCTTCTTCCCCCTGCCAGAAGGCGGCACATCCTCCCGGCAGCCGCCACTGCCGAGGCCAAGATGGAGGAGTCGGAGCAGGAGAGCGAGGATGGGAGCGAGAGTCCTAAGGGCTGTGGCGCTCGGCGGCTCGCGTTCCGTTCGCGCCCTCCGCGGGGCCGACAGCTGCGCGGGCAGCGGCGCTTCACAGGACTCCGGGGACTGCCGCTGCTGCTGCTGCGGCCGCCGGTTCGTCCGCGCCCGCCTCCTGCAGCCGCCGCCGCCGCCACCGCCGCCCCATCTCCCCCCCGCCCGCCCCGGCCCTCGCTCCGTGCTGCCGGCGACCAACGGCCGCCGCGTACTCGCCTCTCAGCAGCCAATCGCCGGCGGGGCCGCGACACCTCACACACCGCTGAGCTGGAAAGAGACGCGTCACCCCAGTCCTCTGGCACTCGCTGCCCCAACAGTCCTCGCGCGGGCCACGCCCCCTCGGACGCCCCCAGCCGGAGCGGGAGGAGGGGACACAAAGCGCGGGGCCGACGTCGCCTCGCTCCGCCCACCCTCGTCCCGCCACCCGCAGGCTCACGGTCAGGAAGAAGGAAGGAGCCCCGTGACCTTCGGCCTTTCTCCCTACAACGCCCCGCCCCTCGGTCCGGCGGGCCGCTCCACGCAAGGCCCCACGGGAGCTGTAGTCGCCTTCCAGAACCCTCCTTTCCCTTTCCCTGTTCCTCATAGAATCCACGATTTTGACCGAGAAGTCTGTCGTTTCACTTCTCAACCTAGAGACCGAGAAGTTTTGGAATTGTTACGTTCAGTTTTCCTTTTTTTAGAACAGTTCGTGGAAGGACTGAGGAAGGCAGGCAGAAAGCTGTGGTAATAAAATTTAAAAGGCATTTTCCGGGGGTCAAAGGGCTGGCCCATTGAGCTAGATGTTGATTGGTAAACGGAAAAGGGCGTGCCAAGACTTCCTCTCATCTGATTGGTTGGAGCGAAAAGCCTCGCTCTTTATTCACCGCCCCTAGAATTTTGCCGCCAGGCGGATTCCTCTGTTGAAGTCGGCTGAGTTGTTTTTCGTTCTGTTGGTTTTGAGCTTTGAGTTCGCTGCGGTGGGACCAGAAGAGAAAAATGCTGTCCCTGCTGGGGGAGCGAGGCGCCCAGAGACTCTCCAAGTGCCGAAAAGCTGTCGCATACACCGCTCTAATGCTGTGGGGAGCAAAACCGTCCTCTTTTCAATATTTGTAACGGTCAGCGTGCCCATTACAAATATTTATGCTACCAGGGGTCCGAAGTTGCAGTTGTCTGTGCCTTGGAACACTGCATGATGATATTTAAAGTAGGTGTTCTTTATTGTTCATGTGGCCGGTGCAAAAGAAGACAGTAAAATGCTCAACCACTTGAGTCTTGGAGTTGCCTTCTTTCCAAGTTGAATTGATTGCTAATTATGTTCCTAAGGAAATGAATGATTTGACCCATTATAATTCTTGAATATAAGTCAACTGGATGTTAGAGAAAATCTACAAAACTTGATAATTTTGATTTTAGAGGAGTTCACCCTAAACTACTTTTTTCCTGGCAAAAATTGGGTAACAATGTAGTGTTGATGTTACATTTAGTGTATGACCATAAAATCTTTTCATCTAGGGCACTGGCCACGTACACCAGGGCTGGCGGGTTCCAACCCAGCCCTGGCCTGCTAAACAACAATGACAACTGCAACAACAACAGAAAAACAGCCAGGTATTGTGGCGGGCACCTGTAGTCCCAGCTACTTGGAAGGCTGAGGCAAGAGAATCTCTTAAGCCCAAGAGTTTGAGGTTGCTGAGAGCTATGATGCCACAGCTCTCTACCAAGGGCGACAGGAGACTCTTGTCTCAAAAAGAAAAAAAAAAAAAAATCCTTTCATCTCTTCCCCATTGCAGGAGGCAAGTATCTGACCTAAGATTAGTATCAAATGATTAATAGCACATATGCAAGTCTAAAAGAAGGTAAGGGCAAAATATGAATGGGGACTGACATTCTTTACAGTATCAAGCACCCTTTTCCTATTACTCCAGGAACTAAATAAAGATATTCTCCCATACGAAAAGGTTAACTACACAGAAACTGGGCATCTTAAGTCCCTGCCCTGATAAAGATCAGATACTCTGTTTGCTGATAGTGAAAAAGAACAGGCAGATCTTAGTAAAGGAATCAGCTCCTTCTGGCCATCTCCTTTGTTTATTATCTCATATGCAAATCACATTTAAGATAGTCAAATCTTTATCTAATTTAAGTTGGTGGTATTTTATAAGCAAAGTTTAATGTATTTTGGTTTAGTTGAAAAATTATCTTCTTTCAATCTTACTAAATGCTGATCTACTATGCATCTCAGAGGATCTTAGAAACAGCTGTCACCCAATGACATAAGATGCTTCCAGAGTAAAAAAGTCTGTTAAGAACAGAAATGTCCTGGAAATCAGTAAAAGAAAAGTCAGAAAATTAAGAAAACACTAATGTACAATAAAAGGAACTCCCTCAAAAGCAAAAATGGATGAATGAGGCAACCAGTATTTAAAATTTAGCTACCTATAAATGCAATTGTTGTGCCCGAAAATTATTCTCCCAAATAACCCCAACAGACGAATCCGAGACGCACTCCGATGTAAAAAGCATGAGATGAGGTTTTATTCAGACCGGTCTGGACTCCCCTAGCATGCAAGCCTAGGACGAGCCCCGAACCGGGGTGGAGCAAGTTTTTATGGGGTACAGAAAGCAAGAAGGTGAGGAGGGTATGAGTACACTTTTGATTGGTGGTTGGTAATTTCATTAGTAAAGGAGGATTTGGATTGGTACAGGTGAGGGGTGGGGGAAGGCAGCAGGGAGTGGCTTGTAGGTTTTACTGGTAGAGTGGAAGGGCTAGGAATGGAGTTTGTGTGGTAAACAGTGGGGCTTGTGTAGTAAACAACTAGGAATGGGGCTTGTGCAGTAAACCACTGTGTAGTAAACAACTAGGAATGGGGCTTGTGCAGTAAACCACTGTGTAGTAAACAACTAGGAATGGGGCTTGTGCAGTAAACCACAAAATGGAGTTAATCTGGCCCTCTCACAATCAATATAAACAGAACTTTGTTACTGTTTGTCTCCACCTCATTTTCCTTTTCTTTATACACAGTGTATAAGTATGTGTATGTAATAATATATACCTATTTTAATTTAGTTGCTCCCTACCTGGAGAGAGCCTTAACTACTTTGCCAAATCTACCTTAACAGAACACTGATAAGTTGGCCACTTCAGGACGTAAAGGTAGAACACAGAAAGAAATAAAGGCAATAAATGCTTCATTAGTTTTTTTGAGAACCAAGTCTCAAAGGATGGAAGAATCACAAAGGACAATGTTAGCTTATACAGTTCTGTTTATACTGCAGATAACAAACAATAACATTTCCCTTTCTTAAAAACTCTACTTAGGATCCCAAATTTAATGTTCTATCACTGGGTTAACAGATACATATTTTGAAGATACATGAATTTAGTAGACTCATAATGGAGTCAGCCTGTGGAAGGGAATGATTAGAACGAAAGGTAATGAATAGAAAGAAATCAAAGATGGTGTGTGTCAGGTGTGTGTCATTACATGAATAAGAAACTCAGGAGTCTCAGGTTTGCAAGGAAGATTAGTTTGGTTTTGGAACAGATTTGAGCTTTAAGCTCTGGTGGAAGTACGTAACAAGGATTTTAAAGTACAAGATAACAGGCCAGTCACTGAGGCACATGCCTGCAGTCAAGAGGCTGAGACAGGAGGATTGCGTAAGCCCAAAAGTTTGAGGTTGCAGTGAGCTACAATGATGCCACTGTACTCTGGCACTCTTAAAAAAACCCAGATTCCAAATAGGAAGAGAAAAGTAGCAACTGAAGACAACATATCAGGGGTTCTAATTACTGTGTCCTTCAGTGCCTTCTGTGTAATGCTCTCAGGTGAAGCTTCCCTAAACTTTGCTGTGTCCTTTCTTTGATGCAAAAGTGTTCTACAGGTCTTGAATATTTGTTGAATAAAGTCCTGCCTCCTTGCTCTGACATTCAAAGCCTTCCATAATACAACCCAGCTGATGTTTCAAGCTTCATTTTCTACTATTTCCTTTCAGAATTCAACCTTCTCACTAGACCATACTGTTTGCTATGTTCTGAAACATCTGTGCCCTTCTGACACTGTTTTTATTTAATATTTGTTTGTCTCCCCAAGTAGTGTGTAAATTCTTTATGCAAAGAGGTCATGTGCTATGTGTGTAACATGTTTTTTTATTATAAGAGCCCAAGAAATAATTTTTACTGAACTATTTATTTGATTTGTCTAACCACACTGAATTACAGTCTTTCCTGTAATTTAAGTTCTTAGGAATACAAGCCCTTAGGATGGGAAAGTTTTGTGCAATTGATTAGCTTACAGCCCCTATCTCTTCCTCTCTAACCAATTGCCAGATCATTTTTTTTAGCATAACATTTAACTTGTGTCTAACTAGATTTTTCTGAGTTCTAGATACCTCTGAGTAGCCTGCCAAAATAAAGTGTCCAACAAATATTTATTGAACCCTTTTTATATGACAGGTGCTGAAACTGATATTTGTTTCTAGGAAAATTAGTGTTCTAGCAAGGAGTCTTAACCTTCGCCCACACTGCACCCCTTTGGTAGTCTGGTGAAGCCCTTGGACCCTGTCTCAGAATGCTTATAAAGGTATAAAATAAAATACTTAGATTATGAAAGAAACCAATTATAGTGAAATATAGTTGTCAAAATATTACACACTAAATCTGTGATATAATACTGTGTGCTTTTGGACTTTGTTATTTATTCATGCACAAATAACGAGACCTATCAGCATGTCTCATAACTTCAAATCATTCCGGCTTGGCGCCTATGGCTAAAGCAGCTAAGGCACCAGCCACATACACCTAAGGTGGCGGGTTCGAATCCAGCCCAGACCCGCCAAACAACAATAAAGGCTGCAACCAAAAAATAGCCGGGTGTTGTGGTGGGCGCCTGTGGTCCCAGCTACTTGGGAGGCTGAGGCAGGAGATTCGCTTGAGCCCAGGAGTTGGAGGTTGCTGTGAGCAGTGAAGCCATGGCACTCTACCCAGGGGGATAGCTTGAGGCTCTGTCTCAAAAAAAAAAAAAACTTCAATCATTCCAAAATAGTGCTGAGTATAAAAGATACTTGAAGATACCTACAATATGCATAATGTGATATGAAAATATCTGTGATTACTAGTGGTGACACTGCTAGTACTGCCATGGGTTGTTACCTACCTTTATAATAAAATGAAATTCTAAATTTCAGTAAGAGGTAGTGAT